CACCTATAACCGAATCTTACCACTAGAATTTCGCGGTCTTAAATTTACCACCCAACAAATAGCTTCGTCTAAAATCTACCATCAATGATCAAACACATTCCTCTAACTTGTGACTCTTACAATAGACGATGGATATTAACTACATTTTCATTATCATCAATATAGATTACTAATGCTTTTCTCCGCGTCACTTTTCGTATTACATATCAAAATGTTTCATGTTTGTTGTCTGTCCCCTTTCACGATTTTTCACTTGTTAACATTACATCAATCCATTTATCACATAGCACATGCACGTATGATAGATTAACGAAAAACCAAAAGAAAATGAGTGATAAATTTTGTCCTCTAACAATGAAATGCAATGTACGTGCTCCATCACCTTCATGAATTATATCCACATTAACTGTTGAAATTAACGAACAATACGAGTAATCACTATATATCTTAAATATCTCTGACAGTATCTTGTAGGTATAGTTTTAAAGTATTAATGTTTATCAACTAGCTTGGAACAAATATTTTAACTCGTTAGTTATTAAACAAAAGTAAAATAAAAATCAATTCGTTTAGTCGTCTCCTCAATCATAGAGTTTTAATTGACACTTGATAATTTTTAGCAAAAAAAAAAAAATTGATATATATACTTATTTAAACCTGTTCATTACAATGTATGGCTAACTTTGGATGTCGCTTATTAAAATATATAACCATAGACCAAGTTGCTTTGGCTTTTCTTTTCAATTTTTCATTAAGGTAATATTTTAAATAGATGAAGTGAAATTTCTACGCTATATATACGTTTTTCTATCCACCTACAATTAGGTGCAAATGACTGTTAGAATATTGGCAATTTTTTACGATATATTTAATATTGGGGTAGTATCATTTTAGATTTGCTTTGCTATTATATACTTTTCATAGTCGGTGATTAACATATACTTTTATATTTTCCAATTAATAATTATTCATTTATTTTGTAAATAGTTTTGTTTGGCTCGACTTAAGACTAACTTGAGGAGATTGTTGAATTATTAAATGAAAGAAGAAAAAGAGATGCATTCTGATGAAGAAAAACTTGTTTTGAGATTTTTTTTTTTTTTAGAATATTGATTCAAGCGGATCTAGATCTATACATATTATACCTAATCAACATTTTTATAGCAGTAAAAAAAAATAGTAACATTTTTTTAATGAATGTAAAATTGTTATTCAATCAAAATCTTTTGTACAATACATGTGTCTTTTTGTTAAACTCCAAAGTGATGTGATTCTTACCACATAGTCTATAGTAACATTTTTACACTTTAGCAATATGTTAACGTTGTGGTATTTACTATTTATGATTAGGCGTAACTGCCGCGTAATACAGATAGATAATAACGTAATTTATATCGGGAATTAACGTCATGGTATTTACTATTTATTATTAGGCAACTTTGTAAACTTGGAGCCAATGGGATTAAAAAGTAGACAAAATCTTTTTGATTAAAGCAAAGCTATACTATTATTCTATGTATGTATATATATTAAATATGTATAACAAAGTTTGTTTTCCCTAAACCAAAAGAAACTTCGTTGGGTCTTGGTCTAATAGTCGGCAGTCAATACCTACTAAATGTGTACATGTAATGCATTTCACTATCGTCGAGTCTTTTCTCAATATACTTACAAATTTAAGACTTATAGAATACAAAATTATAAACTTAATAATCATTGTTCTCAAATATGTATCTATCTGTCTTTGTGGTTTAGTACCTAATTTCGAGAAATATAATCACAACTCCTCTAGTCATGACTGAGGAACTGTGTTGCCTAACACTACAACAAAAAGGTAATAAATATTCGTTTGTAAGTTTGTATCCTTCAATTACGCCAAGTATATATGGTGCAGAATTACTAGCAACTAAGAAATTCTGATTTTATAAAATTTCATATCATTAGTATTATGCATTTTGGAAAATGAATAAGGAAATAAGAGACGAAACTCTTTAACAAAAAAATAAAATAAGAGACGATATTTTTTTGAGAGAAGACAAAATCAGTAAAACGATAAATAACAAAATTGGTAGAAGCCGCCTGACCCACAAGAAGCTATGAAGTCCACGAACCCCTTCCAATGCTTTCACACGGAGATTTTATTTGATAATATATTTTCCAATGAAAAAAAGGAATATGTTATAATCTTCTCAATAATTTGGTTACATAAAAAGTTCTTAATGAATGCAACGTAATATATAAGATGTGATAGGACTAGGAGTATAATCAAACAATTTAGTGAAGTAAATACGTGCAATGTCTAATGAGTAATACTACCGATTGCTACCACCAGTTGCATGAATCATTGAATATCATGATACACTACAAAAATAAACCATTTAAATTTTTGTTCAGGTGGATATTCCGGTAATAGAGGGAGCCTTTTTACTAGCTTTAACGATTCTATTCCATTTTTAATGAAAAATCAATCAGCCATGTTAGAGGAAATAATACTCTTTACTTCCTTTTGGCTTTTTGCATGGGATTGCTAAAAAGTCATTGATTTGTTTGGTAGATCATTATGAAAAGCCAATTAACCACATCTTTTTCTAATATAATAATGTGTGTAAAGTAGAAAGCATATAATTTTTTATTTATCAATATTTAAAATAGCTTAGAGGGTTAAAAAGAGCCGATTATATAATGTAGTATGCTATAAGGTTAAAAAGAGTTAACAAATTCAAAAAAAAAAAAGCCGTCACTATTTCATGTCGTAAGAATATGGTAATAATTTGATGTTGGAGGAGATTAAAGTTTTGTTAAAATACACATAATGAAAACTTAGATAGTGTTATTCATTTGTGTATTTTAATTGATTTGTAAGTCTTATAAGATTTAGAAATATTATATGTCGCAAACATACTACATATTTCATTATTACTTATATTAAATACTCCAATATAATTTGGGAATGCATGAAAATGAAAAGAAATAACTTCACTGGAAAAGAGAAAAAACACCAATGATAACAGTAATTAAACATTCGTTACGAAGAATAATGTAGAAGAGTTTTTTTTTTTGGTCATCAAAGAAATATTGTATAAGAGTATTGAAATAAAGTTAATCCAATATTTGTGGATGGATTATTGAAACACATTTTCTTATTCATTTATTGGAACATATTTAAGATCGAACACATTGTGTGTGCATTACGACAAAAATAAACTTCATAGGCGTTTACCAGGGAATAGTACGTAACAAACAATTAATATGGTTGAATGGATGATGATTGTATGTACTTTCTTGTTCATACATTTTAATTTGAATGTATATATATATGATAAA